AAGTGTTCATTAGCAGTATTCATAATGGTTTATTTTTACTGAATATCATTTTATTTTAGTCAATTAACTCTGTGTGATTAACAAAGTACCAGGTATTTATTTCATTTCCTCTTTTTTGCTTTTGCTTTTTCAAATGTCACAAACAGTTATCTAATATCTACTGATGAGTAACTTACGGCACAATGCTATAGTTCAAAATCATTTGCTTCAGTCTACACTATTACTGTTTGTGATTGAAATATTTCTCACGTAATATGATCTTAGCATAACTTATTATGAGTGTTAATTCATATGACCCAAAGGTATCTTTCGATTGCTTCTGGAACGTATATCACTATACTGGATATCACATGAACTTATAATTTGTATTAACTATTTGAAAACTATGACTTCTGCAATAAATTGTGGTTTCTGCTCTTTACACTTGGTGAAAACTGATATCAGAGATGTGCTCAAATGGTTAAACAGTGGAAGTTATCTGCACACTAATCAAATTATAATCATTAATTAAAAGTTTTCTTACTTCAAACTATGCCGTGCACATTTCGAGCTCGTGTGAATCAGCTCTGGTCAATATGGTACACAGTTGCAATGGTACTTCTTCAAGCTTACTTACTTTATCTTGGTTTTGAACGTTATCGATTATATTCGGAAATGAAGTGGCCGCATGATTCATATCCACGTCTTTGGTTGAAGGTGTATATTATACTTTATTCCTTATGCATACCTGGTTTGCTTCTATTTATGGCATTTGGAATATTTAAATCTGGTAATATAGCTGGTGACAACGATCGTCTGGGTGCACGCATTGATCGTGTAGTAGAAATTACCCGAAATTGTTATGGATATAAAAGAGGCAAATATTTCATAATGTTCTCTAATGTTTTAAATTGCTTTTTCAAATTTGAATAGTTGAAAATTTGTTTAATTTTGTGCTGCTTTTCTAATGAAATTGTAAGTGAATAAATGCTGAGTAACTTTGAAATAATTTATTTATTTGCAGAAAGATGCTCGCTTTTGCGATATATAAAGTCAATGTGGCAGCATGCACCACCTTTACCGCAACTTATTCACTTACTGATGGCTTTTTTCCAGTTATTCGCTCAACAAATGATGTTGTCACAACTTTATCGATATGGTTTCATCAATTCCGGTAATAAGTTTTTAAATAAGAGGTTGTAACTGTTGTATCAAACATAGCCATTACTTTAACATTTGAGCAAAATACTACAATTTGAAATAGCATCTAATTGCAATTACGTATAATACTTTCATCAGTAATTATATTTATTCTGTTAGCTGTAGACTGGTCTAAGAGTCTCAAGGACTTTTTCGAAAAGGGATCCAAAAATAAGTTGCAAAATTCTTGTTGAGCTTATTTATAAATGCTAGAATCTTACTTCTGCTTTTGAAAATATGGATATCCTTTTGCTATTGCTCTTTCAAATTTTGCCGTTCGTGGTGCTTCATTCTCTCACAAATTGCTCTGTTCACTCACTAAAGCTTTGATGTTTGCTCTTTAACAATATTGTGGATAAGAAAACAAGATTCTATGCATAGTTCTAACTCAAGAAATATTGCCATAAGCAATATTTAATCGAATTGTCAATTCCTCTGTGTTCAATTTAATCGAAAAAAGAAAAAGTTGCTGGCGGAAGAAATTGGCTCTTGCAAAAGGAGCTACTTTATTTAGAAAAATAAAAATTCCCGATAAATCATCTTGTAATTGCAGTTTTCACTTCATATTACTGAATATTTGATTATTATTGACAATATTTGACACATATTTAGATAGTGCAGTGATAAGCTAATCATGACAAGATGCAAGAAGCTGTTTTATTGCATAAAGGTCAGAACAAATAAACAGTGCTGAGGGTGAAAAGGCATAAATTGTTAACAATGAAAGCTATAAAGAGCGAAGTTTTGGAAGTATAAAAGCTGTCGTCTTCTAATAATCTTAGAAATTCCATACACATAATTCTTCATAAATCTATAGAGGTGTATTACAGTATGTGAAGAAATTGTGATGTCACTATCATTTTAACTCAACATCCTCATAATTAAACTTGTAATCCTTAATCATTTTCATTAATAGAGTATACATAGAGAAGTATGGCTCTATTTGTAAATCAGAACCAAGAAATGCTTAGCTACATGTCAATAGTAAAAAAATTATGAACAACAAGATAGGAATAGAAATTATGATTAGAATCGATGAAAAGATTTTTGAATTTTTGTCATGCCACGATTTCTCGGGATATGTGTGTATAGGCGGGATGGGATGTAACTGATAGTTGGTGGCTCTAGTAGGGAAAAATGGATAAGGGTTTTGAATAAACATTCAATAGGTTCGGAACATAATAGATTTTGATATTGTGATAAATTAGTAATTAAGAAAATTTAATGGTAAAATTGTGCATAAATTTGTGTGATTGTGTGCTTTTTGAGTATATTGTGCTATTGATTTGATACTAAATTTCACTTCTCTCATCTCTTTTCATCTCATCTCAATTCGTTTAGTTTTTTACATACTTGCTTTAGAGTGAATGTGTGTCTCTCACAGAGCATCAGTTAGTATTCGTCTTCATCCTACACAAGGCAAGTAAGTGTCTTATTCAAAGTCAACTTCAAGCGCTATTGATTCCCAGAAGTGAGCAAATGAAGTAATTTGTGTCATCGAAAAAATACCTCGTTTTTAGAGAGCAAGAACGGCCTTCAATATGAATATTGCTAAAAAGGATTTTGAGACTAATTGATGACTAACTTTTGAGACTAGCTTAAATATTGCATACTACTTGATTCTTTCATCTCATTCTCCAGAGATGCTGCATTTTTTTCAATTCTGCTCTCTTCATATTTCTATTTTAATTCTTCCCAATCAGCTTTCAGCTGATTGAATAACTAATTCATTCAAAATGATACATGGGAATACTTGAAAAACCGTGTTCTTCTCACTCGGTTTCAATAAAACTTAAGTAAGTGCATCATTGTCAGCAAGGGATAGACAAACTGAGCACAATTTGATTGATCATTGAAATGTATTTTGCATTGTAAATTCATGTGCCATTAAAGTTGAAAGTTAGGGAAAGCGTTTTTTGATGAAATTTGAAAATTATAGAAGAAATTTCTTTTTATAATTTGAATGTACCTAATCATTCTTCTTCATAATTCAGTATGCTTTCATTTTATCACTGAATTTAAACGCTTTGTTCAACATTAAAAGTTTGATTCACAGCTGTTACACGAAAATTTTAACTTTTTTGTGAATGCGTACATGTCAAAAGTTGAAGTTTAATGTATCTGGAAAGTACTAAATTCTAGTATTGATTTGCTGTTGTTCTTTTAAAATATTGAATCAAAAGTATTGACTTAATTAGTTCTTTTAAAATATTGAATCAAAAGTATTGACTTAATTGTGTGATTGGTATTTGTAATAGATCCATGATATGTGGTGTGGGGAAATAACGATCACGTAATAATCATAAGATATTAATTATTGATAATCATCTGTGTAAGATTGACATCTCTCATTACATATATTCATTGCCAATAAATTTCTGGAATTTATTTTGAAAGACGTGATTCAATAATTGTTAAACAATTGTTCGGCATTTTTAAAAAAAAAAAAAATTTGAAGCTTGAAATTTGCATTTCTTTTTTATAATATTATCTGAGATTGAAAAAATTTTTTTTAGTTAATTAACTGTCATTCTGTAATATCAGTAAAATAATCAATTCCTCAAAAAAAAAAAAAAAATCTCAGGCGATTTCTTGAACACGGAACTAGATTTTCTGTATCACCGTGCTCGGCAATTAGCAACAAATCTTCCAATGCTTGATAATCGACTGCAGGGTTTTCGTATTTCAGCGCAGGATTTAACTGCTACACCAATCAGCCCTAATTTATTACCAAGTAAACTTTTCATTATATTATCATTTGTAGATGAAAACCTTTTATGTTTTTTAATACTTCTGAAACGAAATATAACATGTAAATGGAAAGATAATCAGCAAATGTATTATGCTGCAGTATTTCAGTACTAATGCATGCTCGCTTATTCGGTATACCATTGGAATTCGTAAATTTAGTTATTGCACTTTTTGCATACTCTTGTGCGTATTCGGCAGTTTTTTGGCATACGAATAAATCATTCAGTTTCATATTTTCAATTCATTTGTTGGTATATTCAACGACTGCTATCTGGTCATATCTCGGGTTTAGTGTTCTTCATCACATTCAAGAAACAAATTATGCTAGTGTTCGACCGGTGGGTCTCGGTATGGTAATCGTTTCTTTATTAGCTATTCACTTACTCTCAGAATGTTAAAATTTAAACTTCAATTCAAATTTCAAACTTTTATCTATATTAATAATATTACTGAGGTCTCTCTTAAGTTTGGAATTTGATAAAACTGAGTATAGTTTTTTTATTTGCTTTTTCCTTTTTTGACGTAATTTAGAAATAATTTTATGAAGTTGCTTTAGGCCAGTATCTGGTTTCTTCACGTTCTTTGAAAATATACCATCCATCTGCAATTATTGTCACGTATGTGACTACAATCATTCTTATTAGTATTGCACCAATTTCATTGTATATGTATGGTTATAACAAATACTTCGTAAGTTGTTATTAGAGTGTATTTATTTTTACAAGAATTTTGGCAATTTGGCATTTGACTCATCAAAAAACTTATATTTTATTTTCAAGAAGGCCATGTTTTATATTTTATAAAGTATGGTCTGTTATTAGGTTAGCATGTCAAGTGTGAGGCAGAAAAGTGCTTCTCGGAGTCAAGCGAGTAGCATAAATGGTGCTCAGAGTGAGTATTCAGAATATCGGCGTCGAAATTCGTCTAAATTACCGCAAACCAGTTTATGTTGTGATGGGTATAAGTTTATTATTTCTTAATTGAAATTAAATTTTTCGAGAAAAGCAAATCTCTGAAATCTCAAAATATACTCTGAAGCATAACATTTAACTTGTCTCTGGTGCAAATAAATGATATTAAATCGCGTTTATTCAGTAAATAATGTTTTTTGGATTCAGTTCCTATCATGAATAATAATTCGAACCTTTTCAGGTATGCGCCTCATATATTTGCAATAATTTTGCTTGTTTTAATTGTTACTGCTAAAGCACCAACCATATATGCTCATATGATTATCTATCAGGTGATACTATTTACTTACTTTTTCTTAAAAAAAAGGACTGTTTCATTTATTGTTAACAAGTCTGCGTTTTGCATTTTTTCACTGCAACATAATATAAAATAAAGCGAAAGCACTGCTTTAAGAATTATATCAAATCTTAACTATTAAAAACGTTATACATTACGAAAACGGACTGGAAAGGTTGAGTACAATTAATCAAGATGAAATTTATGAAAAGTTAAAGAATGAAAAATAGATAGCTTGTCAGTTATTCATTAAATAGCATTTATAAGGCAACTAATTCATTAAACAGCTCTTAATCATTTATATTTTTTGACTTATTCCAGTACAGTCAATGGTATTTATAAGACTACTGCTGGTAAATAATTTACCATAGTTTTAATTCCAGCATGAAGAAAAAGCTCTTTTATTGTCTTGCATAGTTATTGATATTGTTTACCTCTTTGTTTGGATTATCCTTTGGCTTATACTTACACTCAAAAGGGATTGGAATTTCAAAGTTGTTCATAAAGTGCACGAGATAATTGCTTTACAAGTAACTTTATGCTTTATATATGAAACTTAAGGCAAATCTTGACTAAGAAGCATTTGTGTTGATTATAGTCTTGCAGATATGTTTAAAACTTTCGTTTATAAAGATAATTCGTATCTAGCGAAGATCAAATAAACCAGATTTTTATTCAATTCTAAAATTGAGTAGAGCGGTACAGTATACTGTATTATGATTTAAAAAAATTACAGAATGGACCGCAAACAATGATGACTGTTCCTCCACAAATCATTGAAAAAAAACCATCAGAACTGAAAAATGCTTTAATATTAATGCACGGTGATCAGGTAAATTTCTGCTTATTAAGTAGATGTGTGAGTTTCTCAGAACATTAAAAATCAAGTTCTTCATTCGTACTTACGCATGTATATTCTCATTTATTGACTAATAAAAGTATTTACTTATCTCTAAGCTTAATACAGATGTATCTGACGGATGATAATATAGCAAAACAGTCCATATTGCGACAGCAAAAAAACGGGATAAGTAGTGCAACAGGAGAAGGTGTTTATTGGTTGAAAGGGAATACAACTATACACTCACCAAGTACTAGGTTGCTTTTTTTCACCATATCTTGATCATTCTATTGTTTTCCTTATCAACTTTAATAATGAAAGTAAATTACTTGAAAATTATCAAAATTTTTCTTTAAGAAGAGTTCCATTAAGTGAAAACATGAAAGGAACACCAGAGATGAATCGGCTTCTCGGTATCTCTACAATTCGTCGACGAAATAGCGATGAAATTTCGTCGCCCAGTACAACTTATCATACGGTTTTTCATCAGTTTCTTGAATTCTAAATATTATCTTATTATGTTTTTGTGACATATTATCGAGCCCTTAAGCTTTTTAAATAATGAAATATTAAAGATGTTATCAATATATTTCACTTTATTTTTGTAGATATTTCAGGAATTTAAAAGTTTCGTTTCTATATATATAT